CCCCCCTCTGGATCCGCCACTGAATACTAGTAACATAGAAGCTGAAATGATTGTTGTGCAGGTTATGACGTCATATCGTATGATGTACGCTATGAGAACACCTACAATTGCATGTCATAATTTTTGGAATAAGTAAACTGTATACAGTTCAATCTTTCGCCAAAAACTTAAATGTTGTTTAACATTTTAATAACAATCTCTTGTCCGTTTCATTTCTGCACCAGACTTTTTATTTGTCCATTTTTTTTGCTTACTTATGAATATTTCTGGAAAATGAACTCTGAATTTGGAGTCAACAGACAAAATTTATACTAAAAAAATTGGTTATTTTTGTCTCAATCTTCTGAAGGAAAGTGCAGACTATAAACGGAACTATTTTGTGAATTTGTGATAAAAGAGGGAACTTGTGATATTAATTTGTCCGTTCAGCTTTCTAATTGGTTGAAACAATTTAACACTACCACCTTGCAGTTCCCAATAATATCGACATTCTCCCTCCCAATCTCCGAAATATTTTGATATATCTCTTCACAATTCACACAACCCCGTTACAAAAGTGTTTAAGATTCCAATCTCGGTAACCATGGAACGTACATCAATCTAGCATGGACTTGTTTTATCATCGGTGGCATAATTCAAAAAATCTTATCTTCGTTTTATAGATATCACTTCTTTGTGGGATGAGAGACTAAATGGTTTGTGATTAGTCAAGTGATAAGAGATAAAATAACCACTAATTAAACCAATTGTATATCGGAAAAACAAAGGATAATATACTATGTTAAAGGGCGGTGGTCGTCGCGCAACGCATGCGCAAGATAAAGATCTCGTATGAACAAAGATGGCGATTTTGATTGTTGCCCAGACCTAGGAGCACAAATTGAGACGTTACCATCTCGTTGGCTAACTTAAATGGCGGTGGTCGTCGCGCAGCGCATGTTCATTATTTCATTTTAACAAACAATGTATTTTACACGTGTTGCTGTATACGTCGCCATGAGTCCCATATCTAAAAAGACGTGGCGCGACAACCACCGCCCTTTAAGAACGGTGTAGTTGAATAAGTGAGAAAAAGGAAAACTAGTGTCGACTTTATACTTATAATCCCTTATTGTGACGTGTCTTTGATTGTATTGAAGAACACAGAAACTCTAAATTTATTATAATATTACTTATGCACACATCTCAGAACTTGGAGCAATTAAATGGTTTATTTGCTACGATTTAGCAATTTAGTCAGAAGGTTACTTATTCCCGGTACGGTGATATAACTTAGAATTGTAATAACGTTTTTATTTTAGTGGGTTTATGCAGTCATACACGGGAATGAACGTTTCGTTTTCGACAATGATAAATACTGCCAAGCCTGTATTGTACTGATTTCAACATGATGACCTCTAGCATTAACGACCCCGTGACTTACGTGTAAGTGTTATTCTTGTCAGGGTGTTAAAGCGAGAGGGTCGTCACCTGCGCATGCGTCAGATACCTATGAGCGTTTTTAGCGCGTGTTGTTGTCGTCGCTTGGGACTCAATTCCCGCGCGTGCGTAGGTGATGACCCTCCCGCTTTAATGTTGTAGCTTTTCAGTAAATATGTGTCGTTTAGAATAGCATTAATTTTGCATCAGTCATGATTGAAACACACGTAGAACGTGTATTTGTTTAAAATTATTTGTCTGCTCATTTCCACAGTATAGGCAACTATACTATCAACCCACTGTTCATTCTGAACGCACGGTAGTCGGTACGCATTCAAACTACCCACCTGTTATGCAAAAGTTTACACGACAGTGGGTCAAATTGGGTCACACCTTACCTCCATTTTGAAATAAATCACACACACCCGGCCATTTTTCTCCATTTTCCTCCATTGCTGTCAGCTAAGATACACGGTAGTAGAACGAATATAGGGTATAGTGTCGATCGTGTCAGTCACTGTTTCGTTTCGTTTTGTTTCGTTTCTTCGAATACAGTTAAATATGCCTTTTGTAATCAACCCGGGGTGGATTGCTGACCCTTCTTGGCTATGCCAATGCGTCTTGTGCGTACCATATAATTAAAATGTTAACACATATACTTCTTGACAACTTTGCAATTGTCCTTTGCCTGATTAGAAAGTTTGGCAACTTAATTCAACAATAACTTAGTCATAATATGTTCAAGGTAGTATAAATGTATTGTTCGTAACTCCACAAACTTTACACAGTCGGTTTAGGAAGCTTTTCCACATGGTCCATGGCCTGCTGTTGTTACATTCGTTTCCGACACATTCAAACAAATTTGACTCGAGGCCAAAACTTATTGTGCAATGATAAACTACGTACAAGATGTATTCACGATATCGGTAGTAACGTGACATAACTCAATGTTATAATAAAACACATTTAAGATTGCGAAAGCAGGATAAATAGAATACTTCCTGTTTCTCTTAAAACCAGCGAATGGGTTTAATATTACATACTAGAAGCCAAAATTAAGATCAGTCTGGTTAGTGGTTCTGTAGATTTTTAAGCATGTTTTCGGTAACATAATAATAACGCAAAAGTCACGTTACGTGCTACAAAGACTTCAACTCGCCGAGACTATATCAAGATAATGCTTTGAGGGAGATTCTATTATATTCCATATGATTACACAGCCCAAAACAGGAGTAGATTTGAAGGACATTGTCTTTAATTTATACGTCATTTTGACGTCACAGAAGCATTCCGCCACTGGAGGGCGCGATTTATAAAAATGGTGTTTTGAAATGTTGAAAAATTACAGTCAATCAAAAAATATTAAATGAATATGATGACAAAAAATATATTTAATGTGATATGTAATTTTTTCAATTTTGTTGGTATATATATATTCAAATATATTCAAATAATAAAAAACACGAATGCGTTGCTTAGTAGCAAATGATTACGGTAGCCTGAGCGCAATCCGGTAATGCTGCGTTTCACAAGTGAATAAATAACTCACTTGTTTTTTTGAAGTGATGCAATTATTGATTATTACTCAGTAGTGACTAACGTACAAAAAATAAATTCGTTGAATTATTATGAAATACAAGTAAAATCCAAATTATTTTCATCGTAAGCGAATGTTTTCGAGCGTATGTAAATGCTCGACGCGAATCTTGAATTCTCAATTGGCAGATTGCGCTATTCTGAAATTTGTTGGTGTATACAACACATGCAAATCTCGAACATACACAAGCAACATGCGAGATTTGCAACTGTGGGCAGATGCGCACTCGAAATAGCGTTTAATGAATGTGGACCTGTAGTCACTGGATGGGCTTACCAACAACGAACTCTGATGTCATAAAACAACCGTATATACATATAAAGCCTTATATTATTGCTATATAATGTAAAACATGATGAAAAAGCGGCATGCAATTTTAGCGAATTGTGGTAAAATGACGTAATAGCGAAATGTTGATTTAGCGATTCTCTCTTGTCATTGCTGATTTCTTTGGCGGCCATTTTGAAATGATAATTAGCGACATCTTGAATTAACGAATTAGTTCTCTCGCTAAATTTGCGAAAAAGACATGCTCGCGAAAAAGACATGTTTTACAGTATATTATTGTCTTATTGCTATATAATTATAATCCATATGCACGTGAAGGTTAAATTTCACTTGTATTACCAATGTTGTTGTACCTAGCGTAACCCATAGATATATAGAAAAACTGTCAAGATGAGTTCGACATCTGATGAAGAAGATTGTGATGGACCTGAGGTCGTAAATCAATGTAGTATATCGTGATGATAGGTGCCGAAATAAACGAGCGTAAGGTCAGATATTGAGATAAAGACGGATGCATATATTTTTAGTTCACTAAATTTGGTACATGCATTGGGACCATGATACACGTCACTTTTGTTGTGCACATCGGATATAATATGGCCGACTAATGGTCATTTCAGTAATAAAAATCATCAAAACCGATCTTGCTCATTTCTGTCATTCTAGAATCAGATTTCAGACGTCTATGAGAAGATTTCTTTCAAACTTAGTAGCGGCCGGAATCAAAATAGCAGACTGTCTTGTGTCTACCATCAGCACCAGCAAGAACGGTAACACTACTATACTTCACTGAAAGTAATCTAACATCACACACACCCACAAACCTGAAATTGACACATTTAAATAGGTCGTTACTTTCACCTGCAATTTCATGGAAGTGTTTCTTTTCACACACCACCCTTGTCTTTAGAATGTCTATCTTAGTTCATTGAAGATGACTTTCAAAATACACCAACGGGGACTGTGTCAATTACTTTTCTTTCTTATTTTCGCAGCTGTCTTCCGTGCCCTGAAACGCCTTTCCCGTGATAAACTATCTGCGAGCAAACTCGAATCCCTCACTGACCCTGCAGATTTAATCGTTGCACTGGTGAACGCAAATGTGATATCGGAAAACAATTTGATGTACTTGGCCAACATTCTTAAAGTGGCAGAAGAAGATAAGCTTGCAGAACGAATGTCAAAATATCACAGGGAATATTGTAAAGGTGATTGAGGATACATTATAGCTTGGCATTTACAAGACGCAATTACATATACCGTTCACATATTTTGCAAATGATTTAAATCATGATGGTTTGATGATTGATTTTGACTATTATGGGATATCTCGTATCTAGTTTATGGGGTATTTAAATTACATTAGTCATTCATAACCATGTTTATTCGTTATTCTTCATTAACGACTCCCTGGATAAACATAGCATATCTATAACAACCTTGCCTCTTGGAAATCTTGATATCAATTAACAAA